TACTTGTTTGCTCACAAGAATTATAGTGCATCACCTTGAGGATTCACAGATAGACAAAGCAGCAGGACAAGTGGAAATGCTTTGTTTTGCCCTGTTGGAGAAAATGTAGTGAATAATTTTGTTAGCTAGTCCTTTTTGCTTCAGGAGAGTTTTAGAGCGGGGCCACCGGGGGTGTCAAAGATTGATGAGACATTTCTTGCTCCTGCATACTACACAGCAGTGCAAACATCTTGATATTTTAATATCTCTAGAAGAGCCACATGCTTGGTTTCAAAGGCAAGAACTCTAGGATAGGGTTGAGAGAGCTCTTTTACAATGGAAACATTTCAGCCTACGAATAGATTCTAGTGAAGAGATTTTAAGTAATTTTGCAAAAATTTTAACTTTTTAGTTCAGATTTTTAGGAAAAATGCTGTTGAGTGAAGCTCTGATTCTTTCCTCTCCTGAGGAGAAAGGACACAGTATAAAAGGATTAAGAATGAGGTTTGTTACTATAACAGAATTTTGATGTTGGTATGGACATTAGAAATCAACTAGTCCAATATGCTGAATTTATAGATTGGTTGAATGAGCTGTTGAAGAATTAGTTGCTTGACTCAGATGATACTCATCTTCTAACCTCTTGTCTAATGCCCTTCCTGCTCTACCATGATCCTCTTGCACAGGTTGGAAAATTTTTGAGTTTATGATTAGAGCTCAGCTGATTCTTCATCTCTTCCCAGGGGCATGCCTTTAGAGCACTCCTGAGCGTTTCTTTGACCAATATTTCCCAGTACCCTTGATAGCTGTTCTTTCTACTACCCTTTTCATGTAGATAATCTCTAAAAACTTGTCATTTGGAATTGATTTTCTCTTTAGGATCTCGTGCTGGATGATTTAATACACTCAAATGGGTTTACACTTTTATAAGAAAGAGCTCTAAGTGTATACCTCTGAGGTTCCAAAATATATCACAAGATATCACTGCACCACAAACGTAATATCTCCAAAATGAACACTTTCTCTAAATTTACCTTTACAGTAAATACTAACTCTGCTAGTGTCATCATTATCATCCTCAGAAACATCCCACTCAGATCATCAGTATGATAGATGATGGTTCCTTCTCTAATATGCCTATAGGTAAGCCCCAAATTTATTTTGATAGATGGGGTCACACTGTTTATACAGTTTTTTAATGCTTACGTTCTCAAAACACGAATCATGAACCTTTCCCCCTGGTTGTTACATATAATTTGCAAACTTGATTTTTAATAGTTGCATTATCTTCTAATTTATAATTTTAATAAAATAATTATTCCCACATAGAATTTTTAAAGTATTTTTTCCTAATTGAAGATACGTGTGACTTAAAATAATGTGTATAAAAATCATCTTAATACTTTTCATTGCTTTCTCAGGATAAGTTCTTGAAGGGAAAATTATTTTAGTCAAGAATTTGAACATTCATGAGTCTCTGGATTCACACAAAACTCCAGACTCTAGTACTATACAGTTTCATCACTATAAAATCTTCCCATCATGGTTGACCACTCACCCCTCCACAGCCCCTAGCAACCACTAGTATAGTTCCTGTGTCTGTACAGGTTTGCGTTTTCCAGAACATCTTGTGTTCAGTGTATACAGTATGTATAGTGTGTAGACTTTTCAGCTATCTTCTTTCATTTAGCAATGTGCAGTTAAGATTCATGCACGTTGCTGCATGGATTAATAGCTCACTCTTTTTATTATGGTATAATGCTTCATTATATGTATGTATTTTTCCATTTATCTACTGAAGGACATTTTAGTTGCTTCCCTTTTTTTTGCTGATACTGAATAAATTTTCTGTAAACACTCATGTGCAGGTTTTTGTGTATGTATACCTTTTCAAATCATTTGGGAAATTAATTTGATAGGAAGAAATGTTTGGCTCCATGTATTTTAAAGCTCATAAATTAGATATAAACAAATTAGTAGTATTATGTCTTCTTGATGGATTAAGCTTTTTTTTGGGGGGGGGATTAAGCTTTTTAGTATTATAAAATGTCTCTCTTTACTCTTGGTAATATTTCTTGTTCTGAAGTCTTCAGAATATATGATATGATTTCTTCAGGTTCCTTAAACTTACTGTTTGCATTGTATGTCTTTTCTCCATTCTTTTACTTTTAAGCAGTCTGTGTCTTTGTATTTAAAGTGGATTCCTTGCAGACATCAAATAGCTGGGTCTTGCTTATGGGTCATACTGGCAATATCTGCCTTTTAGTGGAGTCCTTAGACCATTTACATGTAATGTAATTATTTAAATGGCTCTGTATCTACTATCTTGCTATTTTTTCTATTTATTTTATGTATATTTGCTCCTTTCCCCACTCTTTCTGCTTTCTATTGGATTTATTTTTTACTTTCCTATGTAATTTCTGCTGTTAGTTTTATTTCATTGTTAATTGCTCTATAACTTTTATTTTCCACTTTATTAAAATATATTGTAACATCTTACCATGTAAGTAGACCTCTTTATTATATCTGATGTTTCTCCATAATATTTAGTACATATTATACCATTTTTGAGACAATAATTACAATGAATCTTCTTAATCAAATTTACTTTGGCATGCTTTACATTTTTGTTAGATGTTGGACTTTAATCTTTTAAAAAACATTTTATTGAGGTATGATTGACATACAAAAGCTGTACATATTTAATTTATACAATCTGATAAGTCTGAAGACAATTATACACTTGTGAAATTGTCACAACAATCTATGTCATAAACATATCTGTCACCTCCAAAAGTTTCTTCCCACCCTCTTCATTATTACTTTTTTACAATAAGAACACTCAACATAAGACCTACTCTCTTAGTAAAACTTTATACGATACAGTATTATTAATGATAGCACTGTGCTGCACACTGGCTCTCTAGGATTTATCTTGTATAACTGAAATTTTGGCTTTTTTATTCCTAAATTTCACTATTTTTCTAGCTTTACTAAAATATAACGTACATTTTTTAATTTAAGCTGTACAATGTTATAATTTTATATGTATACATATATGTAGGTATACTAAAACGATTACCACAGTGGAGTTAATTAACACATCCATCATCTCATAAAGTTAGTAGTTTTGTGTCTGTGACACAAACATTTAAGATCTACTCTCTAAGCATATTTCAGGTGTAAAATGCAGTATTGTTAACTGTAGTCACCACAGTGCACATTAGAACTCCAGAACTTTTTCATCTTGCTGAAACTTTGTAAACTGACTATAATATCTCCCTGTTTCTCCCTCCCTCCAGCACCTGGCAATCATTATTCTGCTTTCTGCTTCTATGAGATATTCTATGGTTTTGACTCTTAGATTCCTCATATAAGTGATACCACGTCGTTTTTGTCCTCCTTGTGGCACTGACTGTGCATGATTGCATGTTAAGTTTTTGGTACATTGACAAATGTGGTAAGAGAACAGTAATTGTCTTAGGTACTTACAGTCTATTCTAATTGATAAAGAGAAAAACAAAATTACAGCTTCAGTTCAAAACCCACAAGTTTGAATTGAAAACTAACACAAACAGAATAAACTCCTTGTGGCATGACTTCAGTGGTGCAGTGACGACAGTGATGATCTGTGACGGATAAGGGACTGAATCACTTGTACTCACCTTCCTTCTCCTGTCTGTTCCCTGATTTGGTGGGATGCTTCTAAAGTTTCATGTGAAGTTTGAAAAAAATAAGTATGGGATGTATTTCCTAATTAGTGATATATATGCTTTCTGTGACTACTTTGAAATTTAAATTCTCAAATGAAATTAACTAAAAAAAATCACTGACTATTCAGATATCCTGCTGTAGTCATTCTCAGCTGATTGCAGACTTATTATCAGTGGTACAAAGAAACTCTGTAAAGTGCTATGACATTTCTCCCAGAAAGTGTAAGAGTATTCTTGTAATTTGAACTATGGACTTGGTGATCTTATTGATATGTTGTCTGTTCCAAAGTCAGAGCAGTAAAACTCAGTCCTGTCATTGATACTACAGTATTTGAGGTTTTAAAATTTTACTATAAATTAAAATATAATAAAAAACATTTTATGAACACTAATGCCTTATCTGTGAACATGGAATATCTACAACAATTTATGGGAATCAACTTACTAGACGACCTAATAATGAGCTGTAACTTACAAAAGTAGAAGAATCTTCATTCAGCCTGTCATGCCAAAGCAGATTCTGTTTTTAATGCTGAATTGATTTCTGTGCCACCCCAATCAAGTTCGATTGTGTTTGCTAATCTGCTTTAATATGGCGGTGACTTTAAATGGCCACAAGGTTTTTTAAAACAATGTCTATATAAGGGAAAAATACTTAGGAATTTTAATATATGTAGTTTCTGTTTCAGGGAAGATGAGGTGAGCCACAGAATATTGGGAATGATAACATGAGATTCTGTACTTCATTTACCAAATTTAGAGCCCCAGATTCAGGTCCTGTAATAGTAAAAGACTGATTGTGATAGAAATGCAGTAATAACAATCAAACATGTGCATTACCAAGAACAAGAAGAAAGGACTTGTGTAACTTCCTCACAGTTGTCTAAAAGACTTGCTTGGAACCCACATGTCGGTTTCTCAGCCTCTTCATGGCCTCCTTTACATCTTTATTCCTCAGTGTGTAAATCATAGGGTTGAAGAGAGGAGTGAAGACAGTAAAAAACACAGAGATAAATTTATCAATTGGGAAGCTTTCAAAGGGCCAAATATAGATAAAGATTAATGGGCCAAAGAACAGAACCACAACAGTGATATGGGCAGACAGGGTGGAAAGTGCTTTGCATGTCCCATCAGAGGCTTGGCGATGGACAGTAGCAAGGATGATAGTATAAGACACTAGCAAAAGGAGGAAACAGATAAGCGAGAGCAGGCCACTGTTCACGAGCACCAGAATATCTAAAACATAGGTGTCTAAGCAGGCAAGCCTGATCACAAGGGGGAGGTCACAAAAGAAATTGTCCACTTTGTTGGGTCCACAGAAAGGAAGATCAACTGTGAATGCCAGGTGGCTGGCTGAGTGTAGGATGCCAATAGCCCAGGAGACCCCCACCAGAACAGAGCACACCCTTCGGCTCATGATGGTCTTATAATACAGAGGTTTGCATATAGCAATGTATCTATCATAGGCCATGGCCACAAGAAGCACCATCTCACTGCCCCCAAAAACATGCAAGAAAAAGATCTGTGACATGCATCCCTGGAAGGTGATGGTCTTGTGTTCGCTGAGGAAGTCTGCAATCATCTTGGGAGTGGCAAATGTAGCCTGACACACATCAATGAAGGAGAGATTGCTAAGAAAAAAGTACATTGGGGAATGCAACCGAGAGTCTGTAATCACTGTGAGGATGATAAGGATATTTCCCAACACCGCAGCTCCATAAAGCACAGAGAAGATAAAGAAAAGGAAGAGTTGAAGTTCCCGAGAGCTGGACAGACCCAACAAAATGAATTCAGTAACTACTGACTTATTGTTCCGTTCATTAACTGAATCTGGGCTGCTGAAGTTATCTAGAGGGAATAAAAATAATTAAAATAAATAAGGATAAACCCTTCACCATTTTTAAATCAAATAGATGCTTCAGTTTCAGTAACTATAAAAATAATATGGTAAGGCTATAAGACAATGATTAATTCATGTTATTATCAGGAATTGATAGTTTCCTGCAAAATTATATGAATTGTTCTTTACTGTTCCATTTTTGGATTGGCTAAATGGACAGATAGAGATAATAGATATATCAAACTAACAGATAAGTCAGTGTGGAAGGAAGTAAAAAGTTGATTTGACATGGTATTCTAACATACTTTTGTAGAAGTCTACAAGATTTCAGCAACAGTTTGAAAGTCACATATGCCATACTTACGCATTCAGATTACAGATTCAGAAAATGAACTTGATGCCTTTTACAGAATCTTGGAGGGAGAGGAAATTTATATCAAATGTAAAGGGATGGAAATCAGTGCAGTTACTTTGGTAATGACATCAGAAAAATGAGCAAGATGTGGCCATGTTTTTGAGATAGCTGCAGTAATAATAAGAGAAATTAATTTATAAAAGTTAAACTACTGTAAGTGACAATTCACATTCCCTTTTCTATATTTAAACAATTTGCAGTGAGTTATATGCTTTAGTAGTCAAAGAATCTTCCTAGAACCTCAGAAGCATACATTCTCTTCAATCACTCTTCACTTTTCTCCATATGATTTCCCTTTTACAACAGTAGAATTTAATACTGTTAAATTTAGCCAACTACATGCTTTTCAAAGATGGGACTGAATGCAATTTTAATTATCATGATAAGTTTACTAATTAAATTTATACTTGTTACTTATCTTTGCTGATGATTTTATAACCTCTTCTTTCTCTAATGAGGTTAATGTCACAATAACAAAAGTGTTTTTCCAAAATCAACTGAATAGTGTAATTGATGTAATTAATTCATTCAACAAATAATATGGATTGCCTGCTCTGCACTATGCAGAGACCACATCTGTGGAGACAAAGCCATGGGAAAAAGTAGGAAAATATGTCCCACCTTCATACAGTTACATCTTAAGGGTGTGGTGGGGCCAGCAGAGGGAATTAAAATAAAATATACATTATGTCAGTTAGTGGTAAGTGATATGGAGAAAGTAAAGCAGAGCTAAGGAATATGGACTAACCAGGTGATCAGAAAAAGCCTCACTAGTCGGATTACACTTCAGCAACTAACTACCAAGGAAAATGAGGAGCAAGCCCTGAGGAAATCTTACTTCAGACAAAAGGAATAACAAGCATGTGCAATAATTTATTTATGTGAAATAAGCATTCTCTTGAAAAACATAAGTATACTTTTGGAAGATTTATTAGAAATTAAATGGATGGAAATTTTGCTTTTCACCTTATTATGGAATTGACACAGGCATAATTGGGTTTTCTGAACAGCATTCTGCCTTACAGGCTTAAATATGTCTACAATTTTAGGAAGCTATAAATTCAGTCTTAAAATAGACACACACATTTTAAAATGAACCCCTTTTATTTTCTAGAAAGAAATACGAATATAAAATTGCTTTCCAAATTCTGTGTATCTGTGTGTACATCTCTAACTATATACAGAGTTTGAAAAGCAATTTATGTATTTTTATTTAAATGCATGGTGCTAATTTTGTCATTTAAAATAAAATTGAAATGGCTTTCAATCTTCCTGTGATTTCAAGGAAGTATCCTTTGAAATGAAGCTCACTGCCAGATCTCAGAAGCTGGCAAGACTTCTGCGTATCTGTAGTTATTCAATGACAGCTAGTTGAAATATATTATTTATTCAAGGCAAGTCTTTCACATATTGAGACTATTTTAAAACATAAAAATCAGTAATTACTTTTTTGTAATATTTCATAGAATATTACGCATTTTAAAACATCTTCCTGTACTGTATCTATGTATATACAAGGCCCGAAGAAAGTTTGCAAAGTGATAAATGCATTAAACCAAAGTTTTCTGGTCTTAAACTATTACATTTTATCTACAGTTAGCCGTATTGAATTGACTTAGTTTAGTTCTACGAGTACAAGCAGAATTTCTCTAAAGCCATTTTAGAAGTATTTTTTTCCTATTAAAAAATAATCGTATTCCTATTTACAGCTGTATGATCAGCCAGTCTTCACAGAAAGGCAAAGAGTGAAGGATCCCATAATATAAAGGGCATACAGTTTGAGGTCAGAAGATCTGGATTTCATTCCTGGATTCATTATTTACTCTTCATGATAATGTTTGTTCATTCATTTCAACTCATTGAGCACCTACTATGATTATGTGCCAAGCATTCTGTAGGTCTGGGGATAATGGTGATCAAAACAGATAGAGTCCATGTCCTCATGCAACTCATCACAGTTCTCTGAACTTTTGATTCCTTATTTGTTATGCCATACATTTGAAAGAGTTATGTAAACCATAAAGTGATAAATAAATATCAGCTGTGTTGCGGGGAGGAAAATAGCTCAGCAGCAGATTGCATGCTTAGCATGCATGAAGTCTTGGTTCAATTCTCAGTACCTCCATTAAAAAAATAGCAAAAAAAAAATTTAACTGTGTTAGTCCACTATTATAATTAAAAATCACACAATAAATTTTTACCTCTATATAGGTGATGCCAAGCTGAATGGAAGAATATTTACTTCCAAGCAGACTAACAATCCATGAGATTTTAAAAGTCATAATAAAAGAGATTAAAATATAATAATAGAATGAAATAATGTTTCTGTAATAAATATAACTTACTGAAATAATGAAATGGAAATCTGACAAAAAGAAAGTACATACTGAAAAGAAGCCAGGTGATATTCTTTACTGTTCTCTCTGTATTCACCTGTAGTTACTTCCAGTCTTTAGAATTCTTTAGCTCTTACCTATAAAAGAAAGAAAGTAGGGTAAACCAGAGTTAGAATTACGTTCTCAGTGGTTATCACTGTTGAAGAGAGATGGGCAGTCTTTGACGTTTCCTTATGAAATCTACTCCAAATTTAGAATACACAGTTAAATAAGGCTTTGACTTGGACTTCAGGATGTCGTAAGGATAATCTTTCCTTTATCACTGGCTTTAGAAAGCAAGTAATTGCAGGTCTTTACCTAAGATTGAGATAAACTGCACATGAATCAAGCTTTCCATTTAAAAAGAAATGTGAAATTCATGTGTAGTACTTTCTGGTACTCAGAAATTGATTTTTCTGACCCACAAGGTTCATCTAAAGCATTTCAATCAAATAGAAAAAGAAAAGTGAAGTTTTCAAGGCAAGATGTCACATTGTAGAAGCTTCTCCTTTGGGTCAAACCCTAGGTTGCTCAACTCATATTCACAAACACAGTAACTGAAAGATTTTTGTGATGGTGATGGAAATGTGAGACATGGAGTCAGTTAAAGACATGGAAGAGAAGGAAGATAGCTTGACAATGAAGATAACCATATTTATATGAGGAAATTGGCTTCTTGTCTCTGCATAGATAATTAATCAAAGTGGTTAAAGGCTTTTGGATATAAAGGACTTGATTTAGTTGCCTGCATTGATATGTTACTAATAATACATAAATATATATGTAACTCTGATTCAAGAGAGTGCAAAAGAATAGAAGCAAGGAAAGGTCTTCAGTAAGAAAAATGATCAAATTACAGCATTTTTTATTTGTAAAACGCCAGGAGGAAAGAGCTTCTGTTAATCATAACAGCCAGTAATTTCTTCGTCAACTTCATACAAAGCACTGAGCTAAACACTTCATCTGTTATCTCACTTACTCTGACAATAACGCTACAAAGGAAATACTATTATTATCCCAACTTTACAATAGAAGAAATGGGTTAGTGTCAAAACAAGATTTTGCATAGTCAAAAAGACATTTAACCACTATTGGTTGCTTAATTAAGGACCTGATCCTAAGAACATACCTGAGGAGGTCTATCTGGTCATTAAAATGACAATTTTGTGCCCCATTCATTCTATTCTCTATCATCATCTCTGTTCTTTCAAAATGATATATCTATATGCTCACCTTCACCTGTGTGCTTTAATCCATCAAAGTGTTAGCAGTGACAATGATCAGTTTGATATTTATTTCAGATTTCAGAATCTCATCTAGAAACTCCAAGTTCTGATGCTCAAGAACCCAAGTCATTTTAATTCTATAATAACTGTAGCCTAGAATTCTTTAATTCTCTGAATGGTAACATCTATATTTAAGTTTTTGCTTGATGTGATTAAATTCCACATGCCAGTTTTAAGAGAAATCTCAGGGGAACAATAACGGGTTAAAGAAAAGAAATCTCCAAAACCCATTGCTTTTTGTAAAAAAGATTGTCACAAGAGCCCATAAAACAAATATTTAAATACCATATTGCACATCCTCATATCTCACATAACCAATCGTACTGATTGCAAAAACCAATTAAAAAACTTCCTTTGTGAAATGAAGTCATATTGCTGTGGGAGTTATTAACACACTTTGGGTTGTTTTTCTCAAAAACAAAATGATAAAAATGTGTAAGTTGTTTTCCTATAATTGAAAATGAGGCAGACATAATAAACAAACTTATGGTTACCAGGGGGAGAAAGGAGGGGGAGGAATGAACTAGGAGTTTTGGATTAGCGGATACAAACTACTATATACAAAATAGATAAACAACAAGGTCCTATTGTATAGCACAGAGAACTCATAATAACATATAATGGAAAAGTATATGAAAAAGAATATACATATATACATATATATATATATATATATACTTTGTTGTACACCAGAAATTAACAAAACATTGTAAATCAACTGTACCTCAATTTTAAAAAGTGAAAAAAAAAGTGAGGTGTACATTAGAAGAGAAAAATGTAGTGACCTAGAAACTTGCAACAGCTGCATTTACTCTCATTTAATAAGCTGTCTCCCTCCATATGCCTTCTTTTCCCTTGTTTAAAGTGACCATTCCCATAAGCACTAGCCCATACGGTCAGAACCTGAAGGAAACCATGTCTAAAGAAAATGTAAGTCTGGCAGTAGCCTAAGAAAATTAGAATCTTGTTTTCTCTAATCCTTTTCTTTTTCCTTTTTATGGAAATATTTACGGTAAAGTTTTTCAAACTCCATACCATGTAATATGCTACCCTAAAAAATCCAATTTTTTAATTATCACTGCTCTGTACTTAACCAAACATTAGAATCAGAAAGAAAGTTTAGTTGGGCATAAGTGGATAAAACTGCTTAGATACACACAAAGCTTGCTCTTAAATGTTGTCGAAAGATGTCTTAGAGCAGTAGAGAAGGACTGAGAAGGTTTTCAGAGAACAGCAGGTGACAGGAAGAAAATGGTTAATGTTGAGATGGACAGTGCATGCT